TTTTTTTTTTTTTGGGCATCAATTTGGATTTTGACTTTCAAAACTTGATGAGTTTCAGTAATTCTAGTTGGGCAATAATGAAGAGACATCAATAATAAAGCATTTTTAATGGATTAAAGTTTACAAAAAAAAATTATCAGACCATAAGAATTCTTTGATAATAATATGTACTCCCTTCATTAAAAAAATATAAGACATTTTTTGAGGAGTTAGATATTAAAAAGTATAAAATATTTTTTATTTTTTGAGGTGCAATCATTGTATTTTTTACAAAAATGCCTCTATTGAAAGTGACTTTATATTTATTACAGGATATTTAATGGGGATAAATATAAAAATATATGGTTAGTTGAAAGGTAATTACTTTACTGAAATGAGATTCAATTAAAAATATCTTATATTTTTTAAAGAAGGGAGTATATATTGCCATTTTTATATTAAAATAATATAATATCCCTTTCAAATGTTTAATTTGATCCAAGTAAAAATCATTATCACTATCAACCATCAATAATAAAATCTAAGGATAATGCAATTTTAAGTCCCTTAAATTTAAAGAAGTTATCAATTTGATTCTTCATATTTTATTTTTATCAATTTAGTTCTTTATATTAGTTTCTGTTATCATGTTAATCGTCCAAGTCTTAAACAACAAATTAGCCCTCAAAGTAAGCTGACTTGTAAATTATATTACTGATACGGAATATATATGTGAATAAATTAATACACATAAGCCTTTTTATATCCACACCAGGTTTTTACATTCCTATTTTATAATTCTAATTCTAATTATAATATTATAGTAATTGTAACATTACAGTATTTCCTTTTTTTTTTCAATTAGGGCATTTTAATATGGAAAAATCATTCTAAGGTCTCATGGAAGCATTTAAAATATGCTGAAGTCTCATGAATTTATGAAATAGCTGCCAACTTCTCTTGGACTTAAAGGTGAATAAGTTTGAAAATAAAATTATCGATTTTTCCTCTAGCATTAAAAAGGAGATTTTGCTTGCGCATGCGCATCTCACAAAACTCATGATTAGCAAGACTGAAGATTGCTGCATATCCATGATTGTTGATCATGATAGGGTAATTTTCACTTTCTCATATCAATGATTACCGCCCTTGTATTCGTCTAAGCGAGTTGGGAGTGTTTCATTCGCGATTGCAGGATTTCATTGATAGAAAACAAAACAGTGATTGTTGGATGGGTAAACTATTTCTTGTGCGTTAATGATTTCATTATTGTTTAAGGACAGGATCATGCTTTCTAGGTCTATCGACGATCATTCGGTTTGCATAGCTAATAGGTATGGAATAATCTAATACAACATTAAAACATTAAAAAATATCTGATATGAATAACTCTACATATTGTCAATAGTGTATTCTTGTGTTGTCAATATACTATGGATAGTTGTCGATACACTGTATTATGCAGGCTCACATGTAAGAATGCAAGTAGTACTGGAAAAACATGTATTATGTTATATATATATTTTTTCATATATGACATTTTATATATTATTCTCAAGCATCTTATGCAAGCTTGTTTTATTAAAAAATCTCTATTATGAAACAATACTGTGTGTTGTCAATAGTGGACAAATGTGTAGTCAATGTACTATGTGTGGTGTAGATTGACTTGTATGATGACAAGTTCTTTTGGAGAACATATATTATGTTTTTTTTTCATATAGGGGGCATTTTTAAAATGATGACTAAGAAAGTAAGCAATATATTATAAGTTTATTGCTCAAAGAAAGATATATGCCAGCAACATGAGGCTGATAGTCACACATGACTATCCATGTCCAAAAGTATTGACGGTGATAAATTCAATAACCCAAACCTTTTTTTTATAGTCTATAACAATGGCAGTGTGTCTCTCTAACTAAGGTTGAACGATCGGGGGTATTTACTGATTTTTTTTAATATAAGAGGATTACAAGGTAACATAAAGATACAAACAGTTTAACAAAGAAGTATATAATCTAACCTACTATCATCGTTCACCGCCTTACTAGAAGTATATAATCTAACCTACTATCATCGTTCACCGCCTTACTAGAATAAGGTAGGGGACGATTGCAGACAAATCAGCCTAGGATATTGCTAACATTGGGCGCCAAATATATAGGCACAACAATTTGCCTCATGATATATAAAATTAATAGAAACATCCCAATTACTATACAAAAGTGACCGCTATGCAGTGGCCAAGCCACATTGACTTGACGGGTGCAAATGCAACCCCTCATTTTGAAAAAAATTATAAGTGAAGTATATAAAATTTTTAACTTTACACTCTCTATTTTTGATATTTTGCACCATTTGAATTAAGTGAAAAAATATTTAGGCTCAAAAACTTATTAGATATATAATATTTTTATAATTTAGATAAGATATGATAAGAATACTTACAATAAAATACCATATCAATCTATTTAATATAATTTTTTAAAATGAAAAATAATGATAAAACTATTTATGTTATTAAAATTTTAGTCCTAACATAATTACTATTTTTTTAAAAAAATATTAATTTTTTATTAAATTATTTTGCACTCATTAGCTTGGAGTCCTGGCTCTGCCATTACCTGTATGTATTGAGTTTTTCAAATGATGATAGTGTATCTCTAACGAAGACAGATTGTCTTCCTCATTATTTTCTATTTGTTTCTTTCTTCCTCCATGTCTTTTATCAGTCTTTGGGAGTTTGACTATAGTTGTCAGGTTTAGACGCGATTATAGAACATAATGGATGAGAATATCTATTCCAATAAGTATATTTAATTTTCATGAACTTTTAGTGTTTTAATTGTATAAGATATGATTATGATCTTTTGATGTAATCTTTCTAAATCAAACAGAGAATCTGAAACTGAAACTGAAGCAGAAATCCACGATAGTAATGATAATACACAATGGTATAATCTTCAATAACAAATCTAAGAGCAACGGCAAAATCATCTAAGAAATGTAAAGGGAGAATAGCAGAGAAGTCTCAAAATAATTAATTAATTTAATTTAAGTCTCAATTGTCAAACTTTAAAAATTTATAAATTCGGCTCTCAATTTTATAACTTTATTATGATGTATTTGTAACGTGTTTTGAATTTTAACACAAAAAATAATTTATTTATTTTTTAATCATATTAAAATTTAAAAAATAAGTTACAAATTTATCATAATGAAGCTATAAAATTAAAAGTCAAATGTATAAATTTTTAAAGTTTGACACTCGAAATGTAATTCTCCCAAGTATATATAAACCCACACTGGTGCTCCTTAATAGACGTGAGAAGGAGAAGAAAGGACTCATTCAAAGCGAAATTACGGGAGGTGGGGTAATGATGGAGAGTTGAAGGAAGAGATGGAGAATGATTTCAAATTCAAAGCAGAAGATAGATAAGGAACGAGATTCAATCGAGAAAATAGAAAAGGCAGAGTAATGCAAAGACAGATAAAAGGCCACTAATCAGAGGAGAACGTGAAGACAGAAAGAGGGTCACCGGCGAAGAACAATGATGAGATGTTTTCATGCAAATGCTCCTCTTCGATTATCCCAAACGACCTAGCAGGCTTTGAATTGATGGACGCTACACACCATTTTGTAAGTTTTTAATTTTGAAATTATGAAAAAGTTGCCTTTTTTTTTAATCCAAGTCACCATTTTTATTTCTCATGTAATTAATCTACATGGCTGCCACGTCATTTTCCTATTAGCCATGTCAACATAAAAGTTTATAAAACATTAGGAACGAATGATAGAAATTATAGACCAATCAGTGATTCCCCCAAACCTAAGGGTCTAAACTTTCAAGCAACTACACCATCCATAAGTTTTAAATAGTTGGGTTTCATGTCATTTATTTTTTTTTAAAGTAAAAAAATGTAATTTAATTTTTTCCTTCTTACATGAAAATTTTAGGCGAATTGAATGTTGAGGATTTATTATGATAAACCTCACAGTTAAACAAAAAATAAAGAGACCTACAAATTACTTTACCAACAACATTGAAGGCAAAATTCCAACACATGCATTTATAGGTCTACTAACTAAGCCAACCTTTTTTTTTTTTTTATATGTCATTCTTACCATATTTTGCTGAGCTCCATCATTTTTTTTTTTCCAATATTAAAAAAATAGGTAGAATTTTCCATACCTTTCAAATACCGCGAAAGCCATTTTATGTCCACAGCCAAAGAGTGTCGTTTAAAACTAGGAAGCACCAAAGCACAACACACAGATGACAGCAGGCAAATGAACAAAGCATTATTCTGTTCAAACTATAATCATATTCTTAATGCATAAAACTATGTAATCTTATTTACAAAACAACAAAACATCATAGGAGTTATACATGTCCAAAGCCTTCGTGTGCTGACCCCAGAAGTTGCCAGCTGGACCTGCATCTATTTCTACGAACTGCCCGGGCCAAATACAACATCATCCGCCACTCTATATAAACGTATAAACCCACAAACACACAACACACTCATTCAAATCAAAATAGAACTTTGAAAGTTGAAACGGCATTGTACAGAGTGATATGGCTGCAAGAATGAGGTTCACCATTTTAGCTGCTTGTTTTTTTGTTATGGTTATAGCCGTGGCTGCTCAATATGGCGATCCAAACAGTGGTAGTGCATCAGCACCTTCCGGGTCTCCAAGAAGCTTAAGCTACCCTACAATGATCATCGGGTTTCTTCCTTTCATGCTTACGTTTCTTGCAGTGAAACACAACACACTCATTCTTTGTTGAGTCTCTGTGAGCTGAGACTTTGATGTTTTCTGTATGTTTTGCGATGCTTCTCGTATAGTTATATTTTGCTTATGCTGGCTGCTATAAATTTATGTATCAAATAAATTCTGTGTGGACTTCAAGGTTGTCTGTGTAATACATACTTTATCAAGCCAGTTACTGCAATTTCTATTATCTGCTATCTGATGTATTAGTTTCTATAAAGTTAACCAAATTAAATAATGATGGGAAGACAAATTACATCTATAATAACAGTATAGCTCATTCATCACGTTACTGCAATATGTAAGAAAACATGTCTCATTCACTATGATAATGCTAATTAATTTGTGCTTGGCTACCAAATAAGATAGTTCCATCTCAAAAGGGGCACTCAGAAACCTTTTCCTTTACTTTTGGGATGTACGCGCGCGCGCGCGCGTCTGCTATTCAATTTCTAACAAGGACAGACGTCTCGGTCAAACAATGTGTCTGTGGGAACGCGTATATGTGATTAGCATCCTGAAGCGCACCTAGATTGTTAAATAATTGATTACTATCAAATGAATTTCAACAAGCAGCCAAAGAATAAATAGTACAAAAATTTTGACACAGAACGTAAGATTTAACTACCACTGAGAATGAGGCTCTGAATTTGAATATGAAGGGTAAGAAAAAGCAAATGCTGCATGAATTGCAGCTCCAATGGGAAAAACATCCTCGTCAACAACAAAGTAAGGGTTGTGAGGAGAATAAATTGTCCCACTCTTGTCATTTCTCATTCCCACAAGCAAGAGAGTCCCAGGCACCTTTTCCAAGAAAAATGCAAAATCTTCACTACCTGTGAATTTAGGAGCTAATACAGTGTTTTCTTCCCCAACAATCTCACTTGAGACTTGCCTTACTATTTCGTATACTCTCTCATGGTTTGTGGTCGGAGGGATCGTCGGATGCTCATTCCCATCAAAATCAACCTCTGCATTGCACCTATGTACTGCTGCTTGTCCTACAATAACCTACGCAAACCAAGTCACACATATGAACGGTCACTTGTGAGTAAGAATGGCTAATAGATTGAAACAATTAATCAAGAATAGATAAGCAAACATATAAAGTGCATCTCTTTGGGACTTACCTCTGACATGCTCACATGTCCATTTTTAATAGATTGAGTTATGTCATCAAATTAGACTTTTTAATCAGAACGGCAATATGGAATGCATGAATTTGTGTGATCGTGTAGCATATAAATATGCAATATCAGGAGAAGGATTACCTCTTCTATTCTTTTCCTTATTGAATAAAAGCTCTTCTTGCCGTGTGCTCTGAAGGTACCAGCAAATGTAGTGGATTCAGGGATGAGGTTGTGGGCAGATCCTGCATCAACCGATGCCACGGAAACCACCTGCAAAGTAAATTTCTCCGTTGAATTCAAATTAGATGTATTCATCTGAATTATAAATGAAATTGTGAATAGTTTGAATTTCATCATGCAAAGTTTTTCCTTTAGAATTGGACTCAAACCTGAGAATCTAAAGGATCTGCCTCCCTTGAAACAATATTCTGCAAGCTAATGACTGAAGTTGAAGCAGCCAAAACTGGATCAATAGAATACTGGGGAAAACCTGCATTCCCTCCTTTTCCAGTGATCTTTGCTCTGAAGCCTCCACATCCGGCAAGAAAATCACCCGGCCTTGATGCAACAACACCTAGGGGATACTCTATCACTAAGTGCAGGCCAAAAATAGCTTCCACTTTGTTAAGCACCTGTTCTTGGATCATTTCTTTTGCACCTACGCCTCTTTCCTCAGCAGGTTGGAATATAAGAACTACAGTACCCTGCATGTGAAGAATAATTTTATAAGCACAAAGAGATAAGAATTCCAAGGTTCATTCGTTTTTTCCCACAAGTACACTTCACCTGTAACTTGTCTCGCAGTTTTTGCAGTATCTTCGCAGCCCCAAGGAGCATGGCCACATGAGCATCATGTGCACAGGCATGCATTTTTCCATCTACTTTGCTTTTATGTTCCCAAGCAACCAGCTCCTGTTTGGGATCGCAGCATAACATGGGATTTATTTGTCAATAGCACGCACATAGTATGTGATTGAATCATTGAAATTATACTATGGTTTTATATTTAGGCTTGACAATATATTTGGTTTCTAAAGGAGAAGAGAGCTCGCATCACAAATATTTCTCTACTCAAATATTCATCATATCAAATGAGAGGATCTAAAGAAAAAAATGTAGAAAGCAATGCTCTGAAAGAGCTTGTAAACCCCACCATACACACCCAAAACTATTAGGAATAAGTTACATAATTAATCTCATTTTATGTTAATTGAGCCTGTAAAGGAAAAATAAGGTCAAATAAAAGTTGTCAAGTGTTTGTTATCTTAACAATTAAAGTATATAGATATGGCATCTTTTTTTATGATTCACCAGTACATTATTAATCCTTTAAAAGTTCTAGTAGATGTCATGAGTTCATTAAAGACTTAGGTAACAAACAAGTAAGAGTTGCCTGATTTATTTATTTATTTATTGGATAATAAATTTGGGATTACAAGTCCAGCAGAAAAATTGGTTGCGCGAAAAGACGAGATAATGGTGAACTCCTTACTCTATAAGTTATCTTTCAGTAACAGTACAGAGAGCTTATATTTCTGTTGTTAACTTTTTAAAAAGAATAAATGACCCACAACTTATGGATCTCTAATTTGTTTGATTCTCTAAAGCTTTTAATCAAACAGTTTATGTGATTGAATAACCCATAGCAGAACATTACTTCAAGAAACATGAACACACACACATGGACGCATCTACGTCAATCCTTCTCCAACTATTACTACGCTGCATCAAAATTTTCAGTTTCTGGAAGAAGAAAAGAGAGGAACGGGAAAAAGAACTAAGAAAAGAACAGAAACAAAAGAGACTTGTAGAGCTAATCTGACTGGCAAATCATCCATGCAGAGTCCAATTGAATAACGCAGTAACTAGCTTGTTGGAGTCTCTCTGAGATTATGCGATTAACAATAGCATGCAGAACTTCGCCTTCAACAACCAGAGTCCAATTATTCCATGCATACATATATTATATCAAAATCTGAATTCCCAGAAGAGAAAAGCACGCAAGGAAAAATCAAGAAATGAAGAATCAGGACAAAGCCAGCCAAAAAAAAAAAAGACTGTTTCTTAGAGGTAACCTGAATAGGCAAAGCATCCATGTCTGCCCTGAGAGCGACGAAAGGGGGAGACCCAGACCCAATCTGAGCCACGACGCCGGTCCGAGCGACCGGCCAGCGGTAAGCCACACCCATCTGATCAAGCTCACGCCTAATGACAGAACTTGTTCTGAATTCCTCATAAGCAAGCTCTGGATGTTCGTGGATTTCCCTCCTGATCTTCTTCATCCAATTCAAGGTACTGGGTTCGTAAGCCATCTCAACAATCTTCTGCTTCAAGGAAACACTTTGATTGGAGCATTTCTTGTGGGTAGGAATGTGGAAGATGAAAGAGGAGGAGGAAGGTAAGAAACTGATGAAGATGGAGAGTACAAGAAAATGTCTGAGACGAAGAAGGAGGAGGTCCATGGCATGGGACCAAGTGGCAGATATGAAGTCGAAATTGCTTTGGAGATGGTTTAAATACCACAATTGCTTGTTATGGAAAAGTCCAGTCTAACAAAAATTCATATCGTTCTCTAGTTTCATTCAAAGATATTTAAGATAAGATTAGACAATAACAATGCGTGTTTTTTAATTTTTGATCTAAATAATGCGAATTTTTATAATTTAATTCTTTTTACTCACTATTATTATTTTTTAAATTATACTCCCCTGTTCAAAAATATAATACATTTTTAATTGAATCTCATCTCAATAAAATTATTAATTACTTTTAATTAACATTATCTTTTTATATTTATTTTTATTAAATACTCTACAATAAATATAAATTTTTTATCAATAAGGACACTTAAAAAAAAAGTAATAATTACATTTCAAAAGATTAAAATTACTTTATATTTTTTAATATCTAACTCAAAAAATATTTTATATTTTTTAATAAAGAGAGTATATCACAAGGAATGTGATTAGTCTATCATTTACTCTCTCTGTTTTTTTTTTGGTACTATATAATTATATAACATATAAATTAGTTAAAATTAAAGAGACCTGATTGATATTGTGTAAAAAAAATTAGTCTACTTTATTAAATCCTTTATTTTTTTAAAAAAAATTATCTTACATAAATTTTTGATAAATATTTATTTTTATATAAAACGATTTGTAAAAAACTATAATCTTTCTACAAAGTGATTTATATATAATAAATAGTTAATAACAAAAAACTTATAAAAATAAGATTTTTTCTCTATTAAAAAATATAAGTATTTTTTGAGGAGTTAGATGTTACAAAATATAAGGCATTTTTAATCTTTTGAAGTGTAATTATTGTCTTTGTTTTGTAAAAGTATCTCCATTAATAATGACTTTATAGTTATTGTTGTGTATTTAATAGAGATAAATATAAAAATATTAAATTAATTAAAAAATAAATAATTACTTTATTAAAATATAAAAATTAATTTAAAAATATTATATATTTTTAAGCGGAAAGATTATGACATTAAAGTTCAAAGTTTGAAAAACAAATTTTTTGATTGAGATCTATAAAATTTTCTTTTTTTAATATTTTTTATTATATTATATTTTTATAAAATATAAAACTTTCTCTGCTTTTAAAAATAATAAATTTCATTAAATTCACGATTTTTCAACTTTAATAGTGTATTTCTCAAAGTTTGAGCCTCTTTCTTTCCTTGGAATTGAAAAAACGTTAACAATAGGAATGCTATTCTTTTTTTTTCTTTTTTCCAAAAAAGCTATTATGAGTTAGGTATGGATTATGACGGTATGCATTTAATTTTTTAAACAAAACAAAATGATGAAGTGGCGTTTATTTTGAATAAACAGAAATTCAGTAAAACTGTCTCCATATGACAAAATAAGGTGAGAATTTATTAAATAATAATGAAATAAATATTTTTTTAATAATAATCTTACTTTTATATTTGATTATTTTTTTCTGTGTAATTAATCGAACAGGATCGAATTTATTAAATAATAATGAAATAAATATTGTTTTAATAATAATCTCACTTTTATATTTGATTATTTTTATCTGTGTAATTAATCGAACAGGATCCAATGTACTTTTTCCCCATGAGAATCATGGGCTGCTTTTCTCTCTCCCATCATAATGTAACAGTCGGACTCCAAGGAAAAAAAAAACTTTAAAAATAATAAGCCTCATTTATTAAGATAAGGTTATCAAGTCTACAAAATTATTAATTTATGTAATTTAATTCCAACCTCAAAAGTTGGCACAGGAATGATATTGGTGGGTTGGTGAAAAAAATGAAAAAAGGAATGATATTGATGGAATTCGCAGACTCAGCGTACTTATTTATATTATGTAGCGTCAATTTTCCAGTTATAGTTATCCTCACATAAAAATCTAAGTTTTTCAAAACATAAAAAATTAAAAAATTAAATTAATTATAATAAAGTAAAATTATATTTGTATTATTTTAGCTTTACATAATCCTTTCATTTTATAAAATAGCTTTTTAATTATTTAATTTTAATTCAATTAGTTTCATTATAAAAATTTTTTACATTCAACTTTTAAAGAGTGGCAGAATATTTTTAAATATTGACATATTAAATTTATTTTTTTAAATTACAATAATTAAAACAAAAATAATTATTTAAAATTAAAAATATTAAGGTTTGATCATTGAAAAAGTGTATAAAGAGATCAAATTAAAATTTTATATAAAATTAAAAAATTAAAAATATATTTTAATTTTGTAATAAAGTAATATTAATTCATCATAACATACATTCATACAATCAGAAGAATTGTGTCTAATCTAATTCAGATAAAGATGTGTATAAAAATAACACACGATAAGATAATTGACATGAATGGTAAAAACCATCTTTTAAACTAATGGGTAATAGTTGAAGGTTTGATTTCTAACTTTTGTGCATGGAATAAATGCGATTGCGTGGAATTTGCTTATAGAAAAAAAGAATTAGATATGTGTATTTAATAAAAATATTATTTTATTTGAGCATTCAATTTAAAAATAATTATTTATTCTCATACAAAATATGAAATAAAGAACAATATGAACCTATAAAAGTTGATCTAATAGGTAAGTATTTAACCTATAATTTACAATATTGTAAATTTAAATCTTGCTTCTGATATGCTGTAAGCATTTTTTTTAATTTGAAAAAATATTTTATTCTTGATAAATTTAATATTTAATTCATCTAAACTTTGTATTATATAAAAAATAATAACAAGATAAAAGTCAGCAAAGTAAAATGTAATACTTTTTTCATTAAAAAATATAAAAAACTATTAACTTAATCTCACTCCAATAAAATAGTTATTTACTTTTAAATTAATCTTATTTTTTTATATCTACTTCTATTAAACATTTTATAATAAATATAAATTTATTATTAATAAAGATACTTTTAAAAAAGATAATGATTACACTTTAAAAAAATTAAAAATATTTTATACTTTTAAATATATTAAAAAATATAAAATATTTTTTAAGAAGAGTATTATTCATTCATTCATTCGTTAAAAAAAAAAAAATCCACTCCCTCCCTCACCAGTCACCATTTTTGAATAAAGTCTCACCTCTCACTACCAAACTAGATTTTTTAAAAGTAATTAACTTTGCCGTACCCTTCTGTCAAATAACAAGTGGTCATACGAAAAATAAAATAAAAAAGCAAAAAATGTGGACTTAGTAGCTAGATTAGACACGTGAGTAATTAGGGAGTGCCGTCTTGGTGAAGGAGAGAGAAATAAAAATCACGTTGGGAAGGCAGAAACCGAAACCATATTTATCACTCTGCATTAAAGTGGAAATGAATGACATATCCAAATGCTTCAACTGCTACTCACGTGTCAATAATAGCCTGAGAGAGTCAGAAATTAATTATCACTGTCATATCATTAGTCAAAGGACACCTTGGTTCTTGTGTATTTCATTTTTATTTCCTCCGCCCCATTTACGTGTCACTATTTAACACCTTTTGCATGTTAAAAAGGAGCCTCGACTCTTGAAAGTATTTACAGTGTTCTCACTTTATGTAACATTTATGAACCGGTTACTTGCTAAAATAAAAAGAAATATTCCCCTCTCTTAAATTATAAAGCTTTTTTTTTTTTTATACTTTCACTTTGATATCTTTAATTTTTGACTAGAAGTTGAATTTAAAAATTTTGATTAAACTAAATCAACCTCTGAATTAATTGAGCCAAGCACTTGATATTATAAAATATTTTTAAATAAATTTCATATATTAATAAATTTTATTAAATATACATAAATATCAATTTATTTTAACAAAATATCCTTTATTTGATATATTGAAAAGAAAGAGAAATGAAAATTAAATAGAGAGAGAAAGAGTAATATTAGAAGAAACTTATTTAATAAAATATTAATCTTCTTAAATTTTTTTATATTTTAAAATACTAAATTTTCTCTAAAAATATTTTATAATTTGGGATAGAGAGAGTGTAATAGATTAAAAAAAATAAAGATAAACAATAAAATAATCATAATGTAGATGGAAGATAAGTTAATCATGTTTATGAAAACAAAAATAATTTGGTTTATAAGATTAGGAGTATGAGTGAGAATTAACCATGTCCCTATCAAGCGAACATCCTGCCTTGGCCTAGCCTTTTTATAAATAGGACTAGCCTAAAGGCTATATGTCTAAATAAGCTAGACTTAAATTCTTAAGCTTGGCCTGTATGCCCATGAGGCTTGGCCTATTTAGATGTATTTGTATATTTTATATTATATTTAAATAGTTGTTAAGCCTTTAAACTTATTTAAAATATGAAATATACAGGGTTTGAAGTCTACATAAAAATATAGATTTTGATAGGTTAGATGCTTACTTAAATACTTTATAGCCTAAATTTAGAAGCATGAAGTAGGCCTTAAAAAAGATTTCAAGCCAAGCCTATCATAAGCTTGGACTTGAGCCTAGAAAAAAGCTGCATATAAACTTAAACCTGAGCCTATATTATAGGCTTATGCTTCTTTGATCAAAGTTTGGTGATAAATGTATATTTTATAATGAAATGGATATATGTTTTGGTTTATATTTGATTTTTTTTACCAAAGTTTATATTTGATTAAATTTATTAAAATTTCATATCTATTTAATTAGTATTTATATATTTTTCTCTTATCACTTAATTATAGGATAAGCAAGAATTTTGTTACAAAATCTATTCATATCTTTTTGTTTTTACATTTTGTAAATGAAAATATATAAGAGGAATGAGGTCATCATGCAAAATCTCATTATATATACTCCCTTCATTCAGAAATGTAAGGTATTTTTAGTCTTTCGAGATGTAATCGTTGTCTTTTTTTTTTAAGTGTCCCTATTGATGAATGACTTTATATTTATTGTAAGGTATTTTATAGGGATAAATATAAAAAGATAAGGTCAATTTAAAAGTAGGTAACTACTTTATTAGAGGTGATATTCGATTAGAAATGCTT